GTCCGCGGGTGAATAATGGTAAGTCCTCATCCCCAAAATTCGAACAGACTGTCTGCCAATTAAGAAGAGGGAACATTGTCTAAGAAAAGATATGATTTCATACATTTCTCAGGTACCACCGACGTGCGAATGCAATGGACTTTTTTCATGTTGGTAACCACTACGCTATGTGTACATGCATGTCTTGCGATAAAATAATCCATAATATATTATGAATTATTTTATGATTATTTCTTGCCTGTCTATTATTATTATTATTATTGTTGTTGTTGTTGTTGTTTTTGATGTTGTTATTATTTTTGTTGTTCTTCTTCTTTTTATTATTATTATTATTGTTGTTGTTGTTTTTTGTTTTGTTGTTGTTATTATTATTATTATTATTATTATCGTTGTTGTTGCTGTTGTTGTTGTTGTTCTTCTTATTATTATTATTATTATTAGTAGTAGTAGTAGTAGTAGTAGTAGTATTTCCTTTGATTTCTGTTCCAACCAGAAAATCCCTGATGACATTTCCCAGTGGGAATTTTTGGAAAAAAATAAATAAAAAGAGACAAAATATCACCACACTCATTGTACAAGATAAAGCCTTTCATAAGGTATGAGCTGTACTTATATGTATAATTTTTTTTTTGTATTTCTACCAGGAAACACTTCAATGATTCCATGGGAAGCTTTTCCAATTAGACCACTGACTTCAACTGGAATTGTCGATTTTCTCTTCTGTCACATTTTTGTGATTTCACTTCAAGATCATCGTATTTTGATATTTTTTTTTTAAAATATCTTCAAAGATACATTACAATCTGCATGAATTGGCCATATCGATGAGAAAGCACATTTTTTTCTTCTGGGTTTTGATTAAGATGTCTAGGCGATTAGCTTTGAGTGTTCTGTTTGTTTGTATTGTAAAATTCCGTAAAATTGTTACAGGTTCTATGTATGTAACCGAGTTTGGATGCTGTTCATATTATCATTATTATTATTTCCAGCCTGTGAAGACTGTTGGGTGGAGGCCTTCCTATTCAAGGCGAGGGATGGGCCATTACCCTACCGTGTTGGTAGTTGTGGATGTGACAAGCTAGGGAGATCATGTCTCTTTTTGATTCATGAGCGCCAAATGGATACTTACATATTTCGACTTTATATAACTGTGCACTTGAGCTCGTCAGCAGTGTAAGAAAATAAGACAGAAAAAATATAGATGGATGCAGAACAATCAAGCCGTGACTTATATATATGTATATATATAGGCACGGTGGAATAATGGTAGCGTCTCGAATTGAGTAATCGGAGAGCCGATTTCGAATTCCAGTCGAATCCATTACATTTAGTTACGTGTTAATAACCTTGAGAAAGGTATGAATTCTCGACTTCCTCGTTTGGGAACCTCGTGGCACGTAGTGCACCAGGTCTCTGTATTCGGTTCTTCAAAAAGTGTGGTTGAATTTGCACAAAGCCTTCACCACTATAATCAAATCATATGTGCAGGTATCGGGCTGTAAGTTCCTAGGAATGAATTGCTTGACCTCATACGTCGAATAAAACAAAGGAAATAGTACAACATATATATATATATATATATATATATATGTGTGTGTGTGTGTGTGTGTGTGTATATATATATATATATATATATATATATATATATATATATATATATATATACATTCTATATATGTATGTTATAATGACGGTAACTGACGCTAATGGGTCAACATTCTATAGCTTGCCTGCACAGACACAAGACTTAAAATATCTACAAAACAAAATCTCAAAACTTTCATTTCTTCTCAGTTGAATAATTGTTACATGAAGACAAACTTTAAAATATAAAGAACACCTCGCTGTGAACTTGAGATCAGCATGCAAGAATCATTAATCCTTTTCAGAGACTAATCAGGATAATGAATCTATATATTACTGAATTTTAAATTTAAATTTAATTTAAAATTAAAATTTAATTAATTATATTTTTAATTTAAATTTAATTTTAAAATTTGAATTTTAAGTTGAGAGTTTATGATTAATTTTAAAGAATCCAATTTGTTTTTCTTTTTCAAGGTGATCAAATATCTAATGATTGGTCTGTGTTGTGATATAGATCAAACCAAAAATATAAGCTGCCTAATCTTCATTTTCCAACGTTCCAGTTTGTTTACGAGGCCTTCAAGAGGGATTAATATTTTCATCTTGCAGCCGCTTAACGAAATACATGATGTCGCAAACTATCGCAACTCTATCGGTAAATGTTCGAACGAAATTCACTCTTTAGTTCCACCAGTTAAGAACTTTATAGATAAAAGCTACTATGCTACATCCACAGAGACGTATCACCCACATTTCTTTCTTATTTCAATTGTAAAGACAAAGTTTTACAAGAATCGCCGGTTTGCAAAACCGACCCCGAGAGTAGGCAACCCTGAACGCTACTCTCTTAACATCTTCAATTAGTCATTGATTGATTTGTATTTTACGGTTTATCGAAATAACCTTTTGCAGGTTATTTAAAACCCAAAAATATTTTTAGATTGTTTTTTTTTAAGCATTTCACCCCAAGCAAGACGGGACTGCCACTAGCACGCAAGGGGTTACAGAGAGTTGGGACAAGAGTAAAGAGGCGTGATAAAGGAAAGGATGAAGAGAAGGACGGGGAATAGATCAAGGCATCTGGAGATGTCGATTGACATTGCATTTGTATATTTGGAGATTAGCGCTCAGGGTAGCAAGTAAAAGGAAGGAAGTTCCACAGACAGGAAGTGCGAGACATGAAGCTAGTGGAGTAGAAAAGACGGCTATATTTAACCTTTTCGACATTGAAAGGGTGGGACTGAGATGCCAACCTAGTAGCACGTTTAAATTCATGCAGTTTGGGAACCAGCGAAAGTAGCTCGTGAAAGTATTTGTAGAAAAGACAGAGAGAAAAATCAGCACGTCTGTGAGAGAGCGACCGTAAAAGAAATGCCAGATCAGGGCCAGTCACATTGCATGTCCGTGTCTAAATATGTATGAATTCTTTAAGATGATCACGGTTTACTGGGTCGTTTCCTACTAATTAACCCATATGGGAGAAAATCTGGATCCATCATTTCTGTTATGAGATCTTACCCATAATAATAATAATAATAATGGACTATTCCATACTTAATAAATACTGCGCCTCAGGATTAGGCAAGGAGTCGGTCGTTCAAGTCGATCTCGGTCGACCGGCTGATTGGTTGAACTCTCTGCCTTCGGGCGGGGAGAAACCCGAAGGAGGCTACGCCGAAGGGCGGATTCTCTTTCGGAGAGGTAAACCGACCCTGAACCCGTTTATACGGGTTCAATGGGCATATTTTGGGGCCGAGCCCACGGGCTCGGAGATCCCACGTTAAAAAGGCCTTGTGCCACATGACGCCCCCCCCCTGTGACTGAATATCGTCAGTAGTTCAAGCCGAGTCAAGAGTCGAGTCAGAGGCAATCCGAAACAGAGTCGCGTTCAGACAATTACTGCAAGACATTGTAATAGTGATACTGGTCGAGACTACATTGTTCTCTCTACTAAACCTGATTTTTCATACTAACACTTCTACTTCTCTGTATATATTCCTATCCTTAATATATCTGTGTTATTCCATACCTGTGTTCGAGTTCTTCTTTATTGGTTCTACCTTGGACTATCACCGTGGTACATGGAACCGGACCATAACAATTTCCCAAGGGTATTTGCATGCAAGTAAATATAACAAACCCGACTGGGATTGCAACTAGGCTCTCCGATTACCAATAGCGAACTGTTACCAATTACACCACCCGCACATCCAAACTTACAGCACCTGGTATTCCCAAGCGGTCACCCATCGGCATTGATCGAGACAAGAAAGGGTATTTCAACCTGATTCGGCCTTAAGCCAATTCCTGGGTCAATCATAGCCTATCTTCCTCATAGTCGCCAGGTTCGACTTTCAGATTCTTATCACATATCATATTACATTATCTAACATCGACAATCGGACCCCGCCAGTTACGATGAAAAGAAGGCCCTTCGGGTAGTCTACATGCCTTGAGAGACGATTGGGCTTTAAACCTATCTTTGACCTCATATGTCTATGATCCATCACCAAAGATGCAGGAAAAATGGTCGGCTCGCTCTGCTGATCCAGTATGTAGCTGACTTCTCACGCTATCCTCTACATTTAAGAGCCTGATGAGGCCAAAAATGGAGTACTGCTTCCATATATAGAGAAGAGCTGCCTAGTGTTCGCTTTCCATTCTCGATAGAACCCAAAAGACTCCCCACGTCCTTGTGGGTGACAAATTATTTTCCACCTGACAGCCCCCTTTCACACAGGCGAAATATCGCAAGCGTCTCACTGCTCTATCACTATTTTCACAGAAAGTGTTCAGACTAACTAGAATCCTTAGTTCCACCAGTTCTAACCATTATAGAGAACCACCCTCATTCAGAGTTTGTCTATATTTCTGAGATGAGGTATTATGTACAGTATTTACATTAGACTATTGTCCTCGTCTTTGTCGCCATATTTGTCACAACGTTTCGGCCGTTGTACGCTCCGGCCTTCTTCAGATGGTTGGAATTTCGAACTGAACCCTTTATTTCGATCACTGGGGTAGACTGTTCTAGTTCCACGTGCTATGTTTAATGGATGTCAGTTATCAGTTATCTCCTGCTAATTTTCCCTCTGAAAGTTCTATACCTTACTGTAAAGAAATATTCATTAACCTTGAATTACATTTGAGTATTATTTTGGTTGAAGATTAGTAATAAAAACTTATTTTTTACCCGAATCGACAGGTTTTGGAGCCCAATAATTTAAGGCGTTTTCTATGAAAGATAAGCTCGTAAATTATAAGGATGTAACGCTTTGTCTCAGTGACAGTGACTTCTTTAATTTGAATCCCATCAAAAACTTATGCGACAATCAGATAATCCGGGACTTGAATATATTAAGATGAAATATAACTATAAGATGAAAGAAAATAAGCTATCCAATATTAATAACAGAGTGATAGATAGATAGATAGATAGATAGATAGATAGATAGATAGATAGAAAGGGATATATTTGTTCGAAGTAGCAAAGTGGTTTGGACTGCTTTGTAACCGGGCAGGACAATCTAGGTAAACGGAATGGACTGGTCCTCGTGAAGTACAAAAGTGGTAGACAATAGGCATAGACAATAGGCAATTAGGTTCTATCGAAGACAATAGGCGTCGTCGTCCGTACATTAATACATCAGTCTGTATTTATGCCTGACACAAGCCAATCATATTACTGTGAGGGGAAACCCAGGTGTATGCATATTCATTACATCAGATAGATAGATAGATAGATAGATAGATAGATAGATAGATATGAAGTGAATGAGATAGATAGATATGAAGTGAATGCCAACAATAGATAGATAGATAGATATCAAGTGAACGTTAACGATAGATAGATAGATAGATAGATAGATAGATAGATAGATAGAAAGGGATATATTTGTTCGAAGTAGCAAAGTGGTTTGGACTGCTGTAACCGGGTAGGACAATCTAGCAGGTAACCGGAATGGACTGGTCCTCGTCGTAGTGGTAGACAATAGGCATAGACAATAGGCAATAGGCGAAGACAATAGGCGTCGTCGTCCGTACATTAATACATCAGTCTGTATTTATGCCTGACACAAGCCAATCATATTACTGTGAGGGGAAACCCAGGTGTATGCATATTCATTACATCAGATAGATAGATAGATAGATAGATATGAAGTGAATGAGATAGATAGATATGAAGTGAATGCCAACAATAGATAGATAGATAGATATCAAGTGAACGTTAACGATAGATAGATAGATAGATAGATAGATAGATAGATAGATAGATAGATAGATAAAAAAACAATACAACTTTGATAGACTAATATGGCGTTACAACCGATACACAGCGGAACAAGAAAAATTGTGTTCGTGTGTGCGTGTGCAAACATAGTCTCATAGAAATGTTCGGATTGATATATAGATCGATAGAATATAATAGATAGATAGAGAGATAGATATGAAGTGAATGAGATAGATAGATAGATAGATAGATAGATAGATAGATAGATAGATAGATAGATAGATATGACGACAAAATCCGAAAGCTCATTGCGATAGCAAAAGAAGCACTCCAAAAGCTAAGCAAAGTATAAAGAAACAGGAACATTTTGATAGAAACACAGAAATGAGTACTGAACTGTTATGTAACATCGCTCCTCCAATATGGTAGTGAATGTTGGGAAACTTGGTCATTTAAGGCAACAGAAACAGAGTCCTAGTGAGGGATTGTAAAAATACCAAGTTTTAGAGATAACGGAAACAAACAGGTCACTTATAATCAGAAAGAGTTTATTGAAATTGCTACTGCATATAATGATGAACGAGCGCTTGGAAAATCTAACACTCACAGGGCATAATGGTGGCGAAAGGGACAGAGGAAAACAATGCATAAACTACCGAAGTAGCTTGAGCAAATGATTAGTAGAACAAAGATTTGGAGGGATAGCAAAAAGGCAAACAATACTAGGAGCTGAAAATGACAGGAAACTGTGGAGAGCCATAGGCGCACGCGTCTTGAGGGGTCACGTCACATAGAATAAGACAAAGGATCTTTGTTAAATACTTGGCTGAACATGAATCAGGAGAGCATAAAGAAAAATTTACAAAGGACAGAATATTGTGTAAAGGCATGAGCATCCACATATCTGAAAGTACGCGACAAATAATAATAATAATAATAATAAGAAGAAGAAGAAGAAGAAGAAGAAGAAGAAGAAGAAGAACCTTGTGCCAGTAGATGGCAGAATAGGACTTAAAAAAGACAAAAATTTACTTAGAGCTACAAAGGAGAGGAAATTGTGGAGAGCCATAAGTTTCCATAGCCTGAAAGAACTCGGTATATAGACGATAAAGAAATACGCTATATTACATCGTAATTCTTCTTTCATCTGTAAATGTGAAAATAGATGTATGCAATGATCTATAAAATACAGGCTTCTCCGTTGCAAAATCAAAACTGTTGTACAAACCAGGAAACAGCAAGAACTGAAGAAATACTTTAATTTCTTTGAGTCTTCAGGATTACAGAAAAGTTGCTACCTTCTGATGTATGCATTGCTTAAGGCATCATAATGCTAAAAGTAGCGTGCACAAATGACATAATCCAATTGAATCACTACAGAAACATTTCTCAAACCCGTGTGACACGCCTGGAATATATACGGATATTACAATTTACCTTTTCACACATCAATGTCACAGATGCTTTTATTCATTATTGATTTTAGAGCGATACTCGGATATATGAATATTTCCTGAAAAATTTAAATAAATGTGCGTGTAAATAAGCACTCTAGAGAAATAAAAATGTATACCTTTCTTAAGTATAAACTTGGCTCGAAAATATCATAACATTTAAAATTATGACATTCACATCTCTTTTAAACAGTAATGTTCAGCGAATACGGCGCTCGGGAGACGCAAAGGATTGAAGGTTACTTTTTAAATGGTTAGGATAAATGAGGTGTTTGATATGCATTTGGAGCAAGTGGATATGTTGAGGATAAGGAGGAAAGATAACGATTGACACTTGATTTGAAGAGGTTAACATTCTAATGTAGAGGATTACTGTTTAAATGTTTAGGATGAATGAGGTGTTTAATATGAATTCAGAGGAAGTGGAAGGAAGTAGAGATCTTGAGGATAAGGAGGAAAGATAACGATTGACACTTGATTTGTAACGGTTAACATTTTAATGTAGAGGGTTACTGTTTAAATGTTTAGGATGAATAAGGTGTTTAATATGAATTCAGAGGAAGTGGAAGGAAGTAGAGATCTTGAGGATAAGGAGGAAAGATAACGATTGACACTTGATTTGTAACGGTTAACATTCTAATGTAGAGGGTTACTGTTTAAATGTTTAGGATGAATGAGGTGTTTAATATGAATTTAGAGGAAGTGGAGATGTTGAGAAAAAAGAGGATGGTTAACTATTGACCATTGATTTGAAGAGGTTAACATTGTGGCGTAGAGGGTTACTGTTTAAATGGTTAGGATGAATGACGCGTGTGAAGCTGTGGTAGTAAGTGAGGATTATGAGGATAAGGAAAATAACGATTGACTCTTGACTTGAAGATGTTATGATTGTAGTGTAGAGGGTTACTAATAAAACGTTTATGATGACAGACGTGTTTAATATGAATGTAGGAGGAGATTGTAGTAAGTGAATATTATGAAAATAAAGATAAAATATCACAATTCACTCTTGGCTTGGAAAAAAGCAAAATTCTTAATGTCCAAGGGGAACTGATCTGGTCATTATAACATCGTCCTATTTTACTAACAACATTTGAAGCGCCATCAAGCATTCACTTAAAACTCTGTAAACATTTTATAATGTAAGAGGAGGTGGTAAGAAGGATAAGAATATATAATGTTTGACCCTCGACAAGAAGAAAATGAAAATTGTATATGTCCAAGAGGAAATGATCTGGTTATTGCGTAACGGGGCCTTCATAAATGCTAATTGCATCCGTTTAACTTAAATTACATGATGACTATTACATTGGAGCTTAATTATCGAGCAATTATTTTAATTTCCGACTATTAAAACATTGTAATATTTTAATAACATTTAAAGTGCTGTCAAGTGCATAAGGTACTAAAAAGGTGTTATAACTCAATTAAGACTATTTTATTTTCAATGTTATTTTTTTTCTTTTATGCATGAGCTCAAAGAGTATCGCCTTTAAATTTGTAATCGTTTTTTAATAAAAAAAAATGTGTGGTAGGAAGATGAAAGCATGAGCATAACCCTTTGTTTGGAGATATTAAAATTGAAGTACGTCTGAATTTCTATTTTGTGTGCCGTGTTACTTCAGGACGTAGGCAGACCTGTCTGTCCACAACTTTTAGCTCTTAATAAATTTTGTTTTTCTTTTGTTTCTCCTAAGCCCTTGTTTCGTCATCCATTTACTCAAACTCATTAATTATTCTATGCGTTGTTTTCCCATGTCCCTATTGCCTTCATTCTGGCTCGTGATTATAAGATTCTTCAAACCCTTCTTCCTCATTATGTGCACCAAAATCCTCATCTGTCTCTCCCTCATGTTAAATATAATTTTCGATTTTGTTTTCATTTTCTCTAAAACTTCGCCATGTTCAGTCAGTGGCATCCCCACAAACTTTCTGTGGTACCACGTTTCTCTTGTGTCAAGTCTTTTCTTCATCTTTCAGGAGTTTGTCCAGCTCACACTGCCATACAGGAGGGCAGATATCACGAAAAAGTTTAGTACTCTTTTCCTTGTTTGTAGCGATATTTTTCTTTTTCTCAGTATTCTGCTTAGCATTTGGAAGGCACCTTTGGCTATCCCAATGCGCCTTCGGATTTTTCTGTCACACATTCCACTGGTGAAACAATAAAAATAGGCTCTTCCGGACATTTGTCATGAAGAAATCCGATAGATTTGTGATAGGCTTGTTGTGTCTATAGGATTAATGTTTTCGAATGGAGGGTAAGTCATCACCCATAAACCAGCATAAGATAAATCAGCAATTCTTATATGTTTTTCTTTATTCTGGCTCTTTATAGATAAAGCATGATAAAAACCGGGGACAATCGTGGAGTGATATAAAATCAAACAGATAATTCCTACCTAGAGTTTAGTCTGGCATAGGGCTTCAATAATGCCACAATACAAACTAATGTTTTTTCAGTAACAGTTTGGATATATTTTTAATTTAACATTTGGAGAACATAGAACCAGAGTAATTGAACTCATATCAAAAACGAATACAATATTTCCTGATATATTAAGTCACCCCATATATTTATTCAAACATCGAATTATCCGAAGGTACAGTAGATTATAGTCAGTTCCATGATGAATCCTACTTAGTATTTTCCAAGGTAATGTAGATAGATTTCCTTAGCTTATATGATACTAAAAATAAGGAGTTAACCTATTAACCAATCTCTTCAAAGACGAAGCACTTCAACGCGATGTAATTGGGTGCAAGCTTGTCTCGCTAGACCAATTGCGATTGAATAGTGAGTTCATTATTTCGACCTTGTGGAACATACAAGCAATTTTCAGAAAATCCCCATTCAAAGACAAATATTCATACCTTTTATAAAATGCATTATTTCGTAAAAACTACTGCAGACTGAAATGAATCAGGCTGGTATGGTTATTGTTTTACACGTCATTAGCCATTAAGACACATTTCTTAAATATCAAAACTGTAGCTTGATTTGGCCCTACCATATTCACAATATATATATATATATATATATATATATATATATATATATATATATATATATATATATATGAATAAAATGACAAGAAGGAAAACTACTTTTTGGTCGACGCCTTTCGTTCTCTGAGGGACGAAAGTGCTCAAGATAAAAAATTGCCTTGATTAAGTGCCTCAAACGAAAAAAACGCTTCGACTGAGAATAGTTTTTCCTATTTCTTATATTTTTATTCATTTTGTTTGTTTAGAGATACACTTGATTTGAAAATAATTTGCACACACACAGACACGCACACACACAGACACGCAAACACGCATTCATATATATATATATATATATATATATATATATATATATATATATATATATATATATATATATATATATATATATATATATATTCTAATTAGTTTTTAATGGTTTTATCTTTAAATAGTGTTTCATGTCATTTCCTCTTTAGCCTGCTTACCCTGAAGATTCGTTTAGATGAAACCTGGGTAGGTTGTTCCTGGCCCTTTAGGATCTGCTTAGCGTATTGAGCACTCTACGTTTTAGCATTATTAGTCGCTTGTTTCTATGGTCTAAAAAATTAAGGCACTGGACGATTTATTTCGCTCTGTTCGGATGTTTCTAGTTCTTTCTTTTTTTTACAACTTTTTTCCTCGGGTACCAATTTGTTTTGATAGTTGTGCTATCCAAGGATTTTTTTCCAACCTATTATTGTTAGTAATATAATAATTTTATCTCTAGATCAGCCTATCGAGAACTATTTTTAAATAATAATAATAAAAAAAAAATAATAAAAATAATAATGCACACACACATATATATATATATATATATATGTGTGT